AGCCCACAAGCCAATCATGGAACATTTTTTCTTTTTATAAAGATTTTTGCACCATGATTTACCTGACACACAGTCTGTCCTCAGACACTTGTCATATATATATATATATATATATATATATATATATATATATATATATATGGTGAGATTGCAATCTAGCACATCACTACACAAGGCTACCGGTCGCTGTAATTCGTTGGTCATCTCTGTTTTCGTCACACCACTGAGAATAGCGTGATACTCGCGGACGCTTGTATATACAACCACAGGATAGCAGAAGAAATCTAGCGCTTTCGTGTGGAGCTGAACAGGAACACCTGCAGCCCCACCCCAACAAGTTCGGTTCCCCAAATGAGGGTTTACACCTTGATCTTTGTAATCGTTACTTTTATAGCCTTTCTATTATTTTTAACTGTAGTATTAGGTTTATCTACTGAATTTCGGCTGTCTCCCACTTATTTGGGGCCACTGTATAGGTTATATCCCTGTGTTGACATTGCTAGTGTGTGATTTTCTTGACTTCACTTCATGAAATTGTGTTTCCGTTTCAAGTCTGCAAGATAATCGCTCTGACTATTGCGAGAACTGGAAAACACAAAAATTAATGAAACACGTGCATTTTGTGTATGGAATTAGTGTAATGCAAAAATGTGTCGTGCCATAGAATTTGGTCAGTGCATGTGTGAGCGTATACCCGTAGCCAAAGCTAAACAGAGCAGGCAAAATGGTAAATCGATGACACCCAGTGCGAACGTTGAAATGGAGGTAAGGCAGTTGATGCAAGGGATCACGTTCGGTAATGTCCGAATCTTGACAGATCCTGGATACTCTTTTTCCAACTCTTTGTATCCCATTTTTTCAGATGTACTTCTTCAACGCCTACGTCGATCGGACGTGGCACGGGGAAGACCTGAAGATTCCTATCAGTTCCTCGGCTAAGAACATCAGTCCATCCGATCACGTCTGGATTCGAGCACAAGAGTTGGACAATTATGTGCAAGATAGGAAAATGTTGCGAGTGTTTAAATCATTCATGATAGAATACTAATGGATTTGCTTTAAATCTTTCGGTAAAGAATTCCCGTTTCCCATAGGAAGCAAATTGATGTAAATATATCTAACTAGTCTTTCGAGTTACCAATTTTCTTTTTGGTTCGGAACTCGTTTTTCTGTCGCATCCCCTTGTTATCTGTGCAAGATGAAGATTTGGTTTCCCTCACTTGAGTGATGGTCTAACTTCTAATTTCTGTCGCAGGTTTGCATTGTCAAACATGCGCATCAAGCTTATACACACCGGACTGGTTTCACGGTCCTTTCCGCGCGTCAGGTATGCAAAATAGGACACCCTTGATGCTGTTGGTCTCAAAGATGTTGGTATTGCAT